ATAATGAGAACACGCGACAGAAAACCAACGACGATGTACACACACACACACACGCGCGCGCGGTTTTATAAACCTTACCCCGGGGGGGGGGCCCGCAGGGACCCGCGCGGCGTGGCCACGCTGTTGGCAGGCTGTGGCCCGTGGCCGCGCCGTGGGCGGGGAGGGCACCCGCCCGCTCGGGCCCGCCCGGCGCGAGGTGCGCCGGTGCGTCGCCCCTCCTCGTGTTTGTTTTCCGCCCGGCGTTCCCTCCTCCTCCTCCTCTTTCTCCTCCTCTTCCTCCTCCTCCCTCCTGTTCCTCCTTCTCCCCCGTGGGCGTCTCACCTGAGGCGCCCTCGCAAAGGACGGCCCTGAAGCTCGGGATCTGCATGGGCTCCATGGGTGGAGGGCGGGTGTCTTTCACAATGTGTCCCCACCCACCAAGCCACCCCAACCCAACCCGAAGGTCTCGACTTGCCCTCCACTTCCGGTTGGGGGGGGGGGTCGGGGAACATCGAGAAAGCACATCTGGAACCCGTACCCCCCCCCCCACCCCGAAGTTCGGGTCTTCGGGTTGGGTGGGGGTGGTCTGGTGGGTAGTCAGTGTGGTGCTCGTTGCAGCGCCGCTGACATGTTTTTTTTCTTGTGGTTCCGAGGGAAGTTTGCAGGGGCTCCACGGGGGGAGCGCGCTGCGTCTCCAGGAGGTGCTGCTTGCCTCCCTTGGGGCGCCGCGCTCACTGGTGATACGGATGTGCAGGAGCTCACGGAGGGACGGCGACACGTTTCCAAGTTGTTTTTCTCGCGCGGAGTGCCGCGCGCAATCGTGAGCGAACGGCTGCAAGAGCTTCTTCACCTGTGGAAAACAGTCCGCGTTCCAGGTGTGGCTCTCACCTTGTCACGGCGCACATTCGTTTCATAAGTTTCGCAAGAGCTTCACGGATGCAGGGCAACACGTTTTCCGAATGTGGTTCTTTTTTGGACCGCCGCGCACATTCGTTTTGTTAGTTTGCCAGAGGTTCACGGCTGGAGGGCGGGCAGCTTTCAAGATTTGGTTCTCGATTGAGCGCCGTGCACATTCGTCTTAATCTCTGCATTGCGATAGTTGCACGGACAGAGGATGGCTCTAAATGTGGCTCTCGCTCGGGCACCGCGTACGCTTGCGTCACGGTTTGGAAGCACTTCGTGGATGGAGGGTGGAACGTTTTCAACGTGTGGTTCCCGCCCTAGCTCCTCGCACATTCGCCTTGAAAGTTTGCAACCGTTTCACGCATGTAATGCTCCTCTTGCTGAAAAAGTGGCTCCTGTTTGAGCGCATTATTGTGTTTGGACGTCCCAGGAATGGTGCTCTGGCGCGATGTGGAGCTGTCCGGGAGCAAAAGTCACGTTGATTTGCAGCGTTGACGTCCCCAGAACTGGTGTTCTGGCACGATTCAGAACCGCAAGGACGCATCATTCAAGTGATTCGCAGCGTTGAACGTCCAAGCATTGGCGTGGTAGTACGATTGTGGGTTATCAGGCGGTTGTCTTCCAACAGAACATTTCCAGCAGTGGAGAGTTTGTTGTAGGGACTTCACGTACGAAGAGGAAGCGTGGTGGGAGGCTTTACTGCAACATCGTTGATGCGTCTTTGCTTTGCACTGGTCCTCCGCCTCCTCCTCCTCCTCCTCCTCCTCCTCCTCCTCGTCTCCCCTCCCTGCCCCTGCCCCACGCGTGCGGTTCCTCCGTGGCTGGGTGTCTCCCCAAGAGGCGCTTCGCGCGTTCCTCGCGCGAGCAGCGGCCTCTTGTGTCAGGAGGTAGACCCTCTGCCCCTCCACGCACAGGACCCCCTCTGTTCCCCACCAGCGCTCTCCAGGCTCGGCATCGCTCGGACGTTTGCATTTTTCTTTCGGCGAGGACCATCGAGGAGCATCCTTGATCATTTCGCACGAAACCGAAAAAAAACACAGGGAATGGACGTCCGAGCGATGGCCAGCAGGGGGCGCAGCGGTCTGTGACCTCCCCCCTCCGCTGCCCCCCCGACGGCTGCGGGACGCGGGGCAGGCGCCCGCCCGCCTCTCGCCCGCCCGCCCCGCCGCGAGGTGCGCCTGTGGTCGCACCTGCAGAGCGGGGAGACCCGGGAGGAAGGCCGGCCCTTGCCCAGGAGGAGGAGGAGGAGGAGGCGGAGGAGGCGGAGGAGGAGGAGGAGGAGGAGGTGGTGGAGGAGGAGGTGGTGGAGTAGGAGGAGGAGGAGGAGGAGATCTCTGACGGCATGTCGCCGTGGGGAAGGCGGGTCTTGATGGACACGGGTCCCGGAGTTGTTCGCCGTTCTCGCGTCCCCAGGGCCCTCCACGGGCCTCGGGACTGTCAGACAACCATTGAGGATGAAGAGCTCGTCCTGGGGGAAGTCCCCAGGGTCCAGGACCCGTTCCCTTCAGGACCTTCTCCTCCTCTTCCTCCTCCTCCTCTTGCTACTGTAGAGGCTCAGGTTTAAAGTCGGACGCAGTTTAGGTATCTCCGTCTGCCGAAATCGTATTCCCGTTTGCCGCTTTGGCCACCTGCCGATCTTAGGTTTGAGGTTTCCAGGTTTATGTTTTCGCAAAGTTGCCCATGTGGCGAAGGCAAAGTTGTTCTCGCTGCGATGGTGCAGCGCCTTGGTGCATCTTTGGTGCCCGCAGCGGTTATCCTGTGTGCGAGTAGGGGCGCGGGAGCAAGTGCCCATGTGCGCCATGTTACTTTTCAGCGGGTATTGGCCAGCCACTCCCTCGTCCACCTCCTCCTCCCTGTCCCACCTTTCTCCTGTCTTGTCTGCCTGATTATTTCACCGCTTCTCCCACTGCTGAACTGCGTCCCATTTTAAGTTTAAATGTAGCCGAACTTTAGCCCACTTCTAGCACATGCTTAGCCCACTTCTAGCCCACTTTTAGCTCACTTTTGGCCCACTTTTGGCCCACCTTTGAGCCACTTCTAGTCCACTTTTAGCCCGCGTGCCCGGTCTTTCAGTTGCGCTCCCTGGATGCCCGCCGGGAATACAAAAACGACGAATGGGAATACAGCCGATGTGGCGAGATGACACATCAACCGAAAAGCATTAGAAATTCTCGGGCGACTGGACATAGGAAAGCGTCGACCGAGTTCAGTAATCCGCAGAACGAGGATGCGGCGGAGACTCGCCAGAGCATACAAGGATCCGGCGGAGATTCGCTGGAGCATTTGAGCCCATTTTCAGCCCACTTTTAGCCCACGTCTAGTCTTGCCCACTTCTAGTCCACTTTTCGTTCACTTGTAGCCCACTTATAGGCCACTCCCACCTCCAGCCCAGATTCAGCCCAGTCGTTGGCCCGTGGTCGGAGACGTCGCGAGGCGAGTGCGAGAGCCATGAGGACGAAGAGAAGCGCGAGGGGCACGAGGGGGAGGCGGGGAGAAGGAGGACGAGGAGGCAGAGGATGAGGAGGGAGGAGCACTGCACGCGGGAAGTCGTGGCAATCTAAGCGGTCGTCGCCGGGGGGGCGCGTTGCCTGCAAAAGACACCAGTACCGCGGGACTCACACGGGGGGAGTGCGGCGCACGTACAGGGGTGAGGGTGTCAGTACAACGAAGAGGTGCCCCACTTCGAGAACACGCCCTGGACGGCTGGCGGCACCTCTCTTCGCCTCCGGGGTGGCGGGTTTGGGCAGGGCGCTCGTCTGGCGATTTCTGGCCTCTCTCCTGAGCCTGTACACCTTTTACTCCTCCTGCTACTCCTCTCCCTATGCCTGCTACTCCTTCCCCTGGTCCTTCTTCGGTGACTTCGGGCGCGCCGGGCCACTCCAGCGAGGAAGGCCAGGCCTGGTCGGAGCAAGGTCGGCTGTGGCTAGAAGTGCCCCATGGCCCAAGGTGCCTCCAGGATTCCAGGGAGGCTCCCCCCCACACGGCCGCCAGAGCACCCCTCACGAGTCCTGGAGGGCACAGGGACTTGGAGATTGAGCGTCAAGCCAGGGGCTCCTTGGGCCAAGGATACATTTTTGCGCCGGGGTGCGGTTTGTGTCAGGAAGGACAGAAACACAGACACAATGAATCGCCGATTTCCCAGAAAATATGGGAACATTTGGAAGTGGGGAGGGAGAAGAAAACCCAGAAACTATGGAAACAAAGAGGAAATTATTTAATTTGTGTGTATTTATTTTTGTGTCCCAGGGTCCCTTCATTGTGATCGGCGCCGCTGGGGCTCATGGGCCATCACGTTGTGCCAAAGACTTCGGGGCGTGGCGAAGGTCTCTGTCGAGGCACTCGCCGGCCCCCTTCGCCAGGCGCGGGCTGCAAACGTCACCCCCTTTGCTTCGGAGTCGCCGAGATCTGATTGGTTTCAATCCTGGAGTTTTGCTTCGATGTCGGCCCCTGGGGACCGATATCGGGCCCCTGAGCCCCAGGGCCATCAGGGATCGATCAGGAGCGAAAACACACACCCAGAGAAGGGGTCGGAACCTCTGGGGCCGCGGATTGAAGAAACATATCCCGCGCGCCGCAGATGTCGCAGGGCAGAGAGAAGGAGGAGGAGGAGGACGAGGACGAGGACGAGGACGAGGACGATGAGGAGGAGGATGAGGAGGAGGAGGAGGAGGAGGGAGGAGGAGGAGGAGGGAGGAGTAGGAGGAGGAGGAGGAGTAGGAGGAGGAGGATGAGGTGGTGGAGGAGGAGAATGGGCAGGAGGTACGGAGCCATTGAGACGACGCGCCAGTACAAACATCGACCAGGCAGAAACACGCTTCGCCATGCCACCGACTTCTGCAGATGGCTCCATCAGCCGCGAGTTACAAAGTTCATTCGCTTCAGCTGCGTATGTGACTGCCCATCGATCCCTCGTGGCTTCAACGTCGAAGTTCCAGCCTCTAGGAACATATAATACGTTTGGCATGGTGCTATGCTGAACGTATGTCGGAGCTTCAAGTCGGTGCCATACCTTCAGGCGGATGGAACCTACACTCGAGTGGCAGATTGCAGAATTTGCACGGGTGCCAATGATTGGAGCACATGGACTTTGAGTTTCTCTTATGCCAAGAGCAGCCAAACAACAGGAGAGTTCGATTGGCCGCATCAGTCTGTCTAGGCTTGTTTCCTGCTTCAAGGCGTTCGGTAGATTGCGAAACTCTTGGTCCAGAGCGACAGAGTCTGACATCGAGTGCCAACAAGGCCTTCATACTACCAGCTTCATCATAATTAGGCGCACGACTGGCCAAGGAGGCTGCCGCTCAGTGAGGCGGCGGATCATCCGGATGTTCTGCCTCAGGCTTGCGGGTGTCCAGAATGCCTCCTGTGACCTGATGCTCTAAGTCAGCGTCTGCCAGAGTCTACTGGGTTACAGGCCCTTTCTTTTCTCGGCCTTTGTTCTTTAGGGGCAGGCCCGCCACCGCTCCCCCCGTTCTTTCCTTCTTGGCTCAGATTTTTGCCCCGTTCACATTTCCTTATCGATCATACGTGGCTCGCTGTACTCGCGCAATGATGGTCGCATCCATCTTCGCATGCGCTGGCTTCGCCATGGCGTCGGCGAACACGGTCGTGGCCCCCGTGGCCGCCCAGCAGGTGGCGATGCTCGGTCGCAGCGCTGTGGTTGGGGACGAAGGCGAGGACTCCCTGGGGGACGGCTTCGGGGACGAGGTCTACACGGACGACGAGAAAGATTTTATCAATGGGGGCTTGGGGGACTTCGACTTCGAGGGCATCTCCGAGGACAAAAAGCCCAAGAAGAGGCTCGCCAAGCTGAAGAGGAACTTCACTCTGGCGACAGGGAAGCTGGACGAGATCATCCCAGAACTGCAGACCGACTTCAAGTATCCCGCTGCCTTCGGCAAGCTCCGCCACCGTGCCAGCACAGCGCCTCTGTGTGGCCCCAGAGCGCGGTACCACATGTGACGCCTCTCGCCTCCATCTTTGGAATAGTTTCCAGGAGGCCTACCTTCTCCTCGTCGTCGTCGTCGTCGTCCTCCTCCTCCTCCTCCTCCTCTACCTCAGCAGTGTTGGGGTTGTCGTGGGGTCGTCTTGGGCCCCCGTGGTCCTCTTTGGCAATCTTGGTGCTGCCTGGGCCGTCTTGGGCCCCCCCTCGGCCGTCTGGGGCGTCGCGTGGGTCTGCTCTTCGGGGGTCGCCCTCCTTGGCCCGTTGGGTTGGTTCCTGTGGCTGCCGGGTGCCTCCTGAGGGACTGCCGGGCTTTCTCGGCGGCCTTGCTTATCATCAAGCAGTGACGAAGCGTCTTGGCTCGCATATAGCCCTACCAAACAATGTTCTGAGAACCTTTTCTAGTTTCCACGAACTATTCGTAGAACAAACCTGGTTGAGAGTGTTTCTTTGTTTTCGCACATCGGGTTTATGTTCTAAGAACCTTGTTTGCGTTCTTGGAACATTTTGGGGTTCTTAAGAAATCTCGTGGTAGGACTATAGGAAGGCCGGGACGGTCGGCCCCTTCTCAATATCATTCGAAGCCCCGGAGGGGATTTGGAGGTCCCCGCGGGGGGCGAGCCCGGCTGCGCCCCGGGATCCCCGGGAGGGGTGGGGGGCGCTGCGCGCAGGGAAGCGCGCCCCAGGAGGTCGGGGTGCGTCCAAGGAGGGGGGTAGTTGGGGACTCCCGGGGGGTGGGGGGGGGGGTAAGGGTGGTATCTTTGCCTAGGTGGCTTCTTTGTTGTCCTGCTTTATCGTCCCCTTCCACTGCCCCTCTCTCTCTCTCTCTTTCTCCCTCTCTTTCTCCCTCTCCCTCTCCCTCTCTCTCTCTATCCATCTCTCTCTCTCTCTCTTTTTTTTTTCTCTCTCTCTCTCTCTCTCTCTCGCTGCCGTCGGCACGTTTTCGCCTTTCGGGACCTCCTGGCAGGCCCTCGTCGCCACGCCTCTGGCTCGCCAGCCAGATTCTGGTCGGAACGCACCCCGGGGAGAGGTCCGAGGGAGGCCGAGGGAGGAGCAGTATCGGTCTCCGTTGGTCTACCCATTGGCTCTTCCTTCGGGGCTCAGGTGACGGGGACCACGGCAGATGGGGGTTCAGCCCGAGCTCAGCTCTTGCAGGGTCTTTCGGAGCCAGTGGTGCACTGACCCGGGCTTGCGCGCAGGAGCCTGCAGTTGCTTGCAGGATGTGGCAAGAGGCAAAGCCTGACTGGCCCAGGCTTGCATCAGTGCGTCCCCGATGCACCTTTCAGATTTGGTGGATGGAGGTCGGGGGCGTGGAAGGAGGGAGGGCGAGGACTCCCAGGGAGGGACCCCGACTCTCCACTTCCGACGCCTTCCGACCAGGAGCTGGCCGATGTGGTGGCCTCTGGCGCCGCCCGTGGCGCGCTCGGCGCCGATCCGAGAAGTCTGCGCGGAGCGCCGAAGGTTTATGGTGGTTATGCCATTGTTTGCCCTCCGAGGCGACCACTAGATCAGCCACCTGCTGGTCGGCAGGTGTGGGGGGTGGAGACAGGGTCGAGTGGGCAGCATGGTTGGGGCCACCGTGAGATCTCCCCGGACGTCATGGCCCCCGATTCGTCTTTCAAGATGCTCCTCCAGGCCTCCCAGAGGGGAATCGAAGTACCCATCGGTCGTTGAGAGTAGGCATGTCTCGAGTCCCAGACTCCGATCTACTCTGAGCGCCTTCCTACTTCAATGATCCAGTGGCTTCACCTTTTCCGTCCTCTTCAGGGGTCGCGCGGAAGCCCAATCTATTTTCAACGCCTTCCTATTTCTTGTTTCTACCTGCTTCTTCCGACCGATGGGTAAATGGGGCCTGTGGATCGCGCCGCGTCGCCGATGCATCGGCGAGGCGGCTCGATCTGGAGCCCGCTTTTTCTGCACGCCCAGGGCACCGACGCAGCGCCGACGTCGCGTTGCGACGCGATCCTCCCGCCCCATCTTCTCGGACTCCACCTGGGAAGCCATTGTTTCAAGACGTTCCGTGTTCCAATCCTGGCCCGCTCACGCTCCTCCGGCCGCGATCTGAGCACCCCTCCTCTTGGACGCCCTCTCTCTGCCCTGCAGACCTGCGGTCGTGATTCCCGCCAGATAGCCCCTGGCGCTCTGCCGCGCCCGCATCCATCCGTGCCGCCGGGGCACGGTGGCGGACAAGACGCAGCAGCTCAAGGTCGCGCTCGCCTGGTTCAAGGAAGCACTGTCGGGGGTGGACAGAACCCCCAACAGTGACACGTCGATTAGTGAATTGTCCGTTTTCGGTTTTCGAGAGGGCGCCGTGGCCATTATTTTCCAGGATTGCGCCCGCCAGGTCTGGGCCTCAGGTCGTTTTCACTAAACCACGCTTTACTAAAGGGAGGTCTGTCCATCCCCGACACTGGGGGCCCATCTGGGTCCGATTCGATGTGGACTCCAGCCGGCACGATCCGTTTTGATGCCGAGAGTGCGTCGATGCGAGGAGGCCCGAGGACTGTATGGCGCTGCTGCGCTTCCTGGTGGCACCGATGCGATTCGTTTCCGACGCCGTGCCGGTGCGGTCCGATCCGGCGCACAGCCCGATTCGGTCCGACGTCCCAATTCGATGTTGACTGATCCTTCGGAGAACAAGCAATGACAGACATATAAACTTTCGGAGGTCGCCGCGGATTTCTCGCATCGGCGCCGGAGTCCCCCGCCGGCGCCTCTGGCGTGCTCCGCGCGCCATGGAGGGGGGCTCCAGCCCCGCTGAAGGAGATCCGTGCGCGTCTCCGAGGGTTTCTGTTTCTGGCGTGAGTTGTTTCTCGACTTCCGAGGAGAAGCAGAGGGACCTGGAGAGGGCGAAGAAGGAGGCGACGAAGGCCATGAAGGAACTCCGCCTGGAGGCCGAGAAGCGCCGGCTGTCCGCCTCCGAGCGCCGGCGCGCCAAGGAGAGGGAGCGCAGGGCCATCGAGGAGGCCACGCGCACCGCCAAGGCAGGGCCGACCGCGCTCCGATTCCATGCGGTGCTCGGCTGCACGTATGCATGACCCTTCGATGCGTACTCGACTGCGCTTTTGCGTCGGCGGCGGGGCAGAAGCGCTGCTCCAGCGGGCGGCGATCGGGGGCGACCGATACGCGAGCTGGCCGGCGTGCTGCCCTCCCTGCGCGCAATTTCGAGGAGCTCCCTCGCAGCCAGCCTGTAGGCTGCAAGGGATTCTCTCGAACTCTGTCGCGGCCGAGGCCAGGGCCGGGGCCAGGGCCGGGGCCGGGGCCAGGGCCAAGGCCATTTCGAGAAACTCCCCCGCAGCCAGCCCCTGCATGCGGCGGGCGAGCTGCTCGGAAGGCGCCGCGGCCGCGGCCCGGGCAGAGGGGCCAGGGCGAGAGGTTCCCTCGCAGCCAGCCCGTGGGCTGCGAGGGAGCGTCTCCGAGCTCGCCGCGGCCCGGGCGGGGGCCATGGCCGGGGCCGGGGCAAGTGCCGGGGGCAGGGCTGGGGCCGGGGCCGGGGCCATGTCAAGAAGCTCCCTCGCAGCCAGCATCGAGGAAGTTTCTTGAAATTCGCCGAGGCCAGAGGAAGAGGAGGAGGAGGAGGAGGAGGAGGAGGAGGAGGGGGAGGAGGAGGAGGAGGAGGAGGAGGAGGAGGAGGAGGAGGAGGAGAGTACGAAAACAGAAGGAGGAGGAGGAGGCATTCCGAGAAATTTCCTCAGCGCCAGTCTGAAGGCTGTGAGGGAGTTTCTCGAAGAATTCGCCGGGGCCAGGGCCAGAGCCGGGGCCATCTCGAGAAGCTTTCTCCCAGCCAGCCTGTAGGCTGCGAGGGAGTTTCGCGAAGTTCGCCGCGGGTGACGTGGAAACGCGCGCCCGCTGGGAAATGCCCGCTCTGCGGGCAGAGACAATTTCAAGAACCTCCCTCGCGGCCAGCCTGTATGGTGCGAGTGAGTTTCTCGAAATTCGCCGCGGGGGAGGTGGAGGCGCGCCTCTGCTGGGAAATGCCAGGCCATTTCGGGAAACCCCTCGCAGCCAGCCTGTAAGCTGCGAGGGAGTTCCTCGAAATTCGCCGCGGGGGAGATGGAGGCGCGCGCATGCGGGGGGCGGAGGCCACTTCGCCGCGGGAGAAGGGGGTCCATCCCCCCTCTTTGGTAAACCTAGGAGTTTCTCAAAAAATGCGTGCTTGATGCGTGTAGCCTATTTCGACAAACTCTTCTGCCGCCGAGCTGGGGTGGCCGCGAGGGAGGTGTTTCGAAATTCGGTCGCCTCGCAGCCACACTGGCACGGCGGCAGAGGAGTTTGTTTTTGTTCCTTTCGGGGGAGCGTAAGACCTGGGTTTGCCAGGACTCGGGTTCGCCATCGTTTTTTGACGACCGCGCCTCGGATTTTGACGAGGAGGAGCTTCGTGGGATGTCTACAGCGGGAGGCCTCGTCAAAATGCAGGCTTGGCCTCGTCACTTTTTTGACGACCTCGTCGGGGATTTCCGAGTCCCCTGTACCCAGGTCTTAACGTCCCCCTGATCCTTCAAAATGGGTACCAAGCGCGCAATTTCAGGAAACCCTTTGTGCGCACCAACCCCTTGTGGCACCCACTGGTTCCCCCACGACTCGCTGGGCGGGGCCGCGATTTCGATGCGCTTCGACCCGGCAAGGTTCCCACCGGGCGCGGCCATCCGATCCCGACTCGATCTGGGACGATTCCTTGGCGATCCGATCCGTCTGCGATCGGATTCGACTTCGCGGTTCGATGACGCTCAGAGCGTGAATTACCTCCCCCGCTTTCGCTTCCAGGCAAAAACCAAGTCATACCACGCGCCTCCTCGTCAAGCGGCCTGACCAGTACAGGCCGTAGTTTGGCATCGCTTGGTATCTCTTGGAGGCGAGGGTGGTCAAAAGCGAGGTAGGTTTGTCCCCCCCCAAGAAGCCCAAGCTTGCAAGGCGGCCATGATCAAGAAGGCGCAGGCCTTGATGAGCGCCAAGGGCCAGTCAGACGAGTCCGGCATGCTCGGCGAGGCCAGACGGAGAGAAACAAGACAGGCACGACCACGAACCTTCAGAGGTCCGGGCGGATTTCTTGGAGTTGCGCTAGCCCCCTATGGCGGCGTCTGGCGCCGCCCCTGACGCGCTCCTCGCGCAAGGGAGGGGGGTCCAGCCCGATCCAAGAAATCCGCAAGGATCTCCGACGCGGTATATTTGTATTGCCTAAGTCGTTTTGCGAGCGCAGCCCGTAATTTGATTGCCGGGAAGTAGACTGACAGAATTGACAGAACAACTGAATCACCGAAGCCGTTAGATAGCAGTTTTGTTTCCAGGGGTGAAGACATTTCGCTGGCAGTGTTAAGTCAGGGGGTCGAGGACATTTTGCTGGCAGTTTTAAGCCAGGAGGTGAGGATATGTTGCTGGCAGTGTTAAATCAGGGAGTTTGGGATATTTCGCTGGTTTAAGTCGGGGAGTTCAGGATTTTTCGCTGGCAGTTTTTATGCGAGTGGTGTGAGGACATTTCGCTGGCAGTTTTAGACCAGGAGTTTGAGGATATGTCGCTGGCAGTTGTAGGTCAGGGGGTGAGGATAGATCGCTGGCAATTTTAAGTCAGCGAGTTGAGGATTTTTCGCTGGCAGTTTTAGGCCACGGGGTGAGGACATTTCGCTGGCAGTTTTAGGTCAGGGGGTTGAGGATGTTTCCCCATATCCTAAGATGGGGTTCTTGTTATTTCTTGGACGCCGCCGACTTCTCCTCCTTCTTCTCCTTCTCCTCCCCTCTCCTCCTCATACCCAGACTTACTCACACTCAGATTTACTCATACCCAGACTTACTCAGACACAACCTTACTCATACTCAGACCTACTCATACTCAGACCTACTTATACTCAGAGTTACTCATGCTGAGACTCACTCACGCCCAGACTAACTAATACTCAGACTTGTTCCCAGACTTAATCCAATAGCCCTTATAACGGCGACGATGGAACACAGTGCCGGGGAACTGCTTTGAACATCACCAGTCGTTCAAAGCAGTGCCCCGGCACTGCTTTGAACGATGCGGAAATGCGATCAGCAGGAGCCTTCGTCTGTTCCTTCTCCTCTTCTCGTCGCTGTATGCTCTTCCTTGTCCTCCCTCCTCCCCCGTTCCCTCTCTAATTAATTACCTCGTTCTCCCAGTCTCACGCGCACTCTTCCTCCCCCCTCTCCTCCTCCTCTTCCTGCTTCTCCTCCTCGTCCTCCTCCTCCTCCGCCTCCTCCCCCTCATTTGTTATATTTCTCCGTCCTTGTCCTCCTGTCCCCGTTCTCCTTCTCCCTCTCCTCCTCCTCCTCCTCCTCGTCGTCGTCGTCCTCCTCCTCTTCCTCCTCCTCCTCCTCCTCCTCCTCTTCCTCCTCCTCCTCCTCCTCCTCCTCCTCACCTTCTTCCTCCTCCTCCTCCTCCCCCTTTTCCTCTCCCTCCTCCTCCTCCTCCTCCTCCTCCCCCTTCCCCCTCTTCCTCCTCTGCTATCACTCCTCCATAATTCCTGTCCGCTCCTCCCCTTCACTGATCTTCCTCTTCGTCATCATCATCCCTTTCGTCGCACGCCTCTTAATCCTCAATCGGTTCCCAATCTTCTCGACTTTCTTGTCATCCGCGTCCTTGGCTGTTGGAGGGGCCTCAGGAATTCTCAGGGCTCTTGTGTTGCACGCGAAGGCACACCTCCCAGGAACGCATCATCCTCCTCACATTCACCCTCCTCCTCCTCATCCTCCTCCTCCATGCACGTTCGGCTCAAGCCCGCGCCGACGGTAGGTTTCACGGCGGTTGGGCGGGCTCGCGCCCGCCTCCGCGGCCTGCAGTCGGGGCAGAGATGCGTGCAGGGTGGGATGACAAAGCGGAAGAGGAAACACGGGCCGCAGTTGCGGATTCTTCAAAGAGCAGCGGCGGCGGTTGGGGAACAAGTGGGGGTTGGGGCGGCCGCAGTGGCGGATACGGCGGCGGAGGTGACCGCAGTGGCGGCTGGGGCGGCGGAGATTCTCTTGGCGGATGGAGAGGAAAAGCGCAGGATGGCGGCGACGGAAGTGACCGCAGTCGCGGATGGGAGGGCGGCGGATGGGGCGGCAACGGATGCGAGGGTTGGGGAATGGAGGGCGCCCGCTGGTGGGACGACGAGGGTGGCTGGTGGAATGCATGGGAAGGTGGCCGCTCGAGTGCCTCGGCAGGTTCTCCTGCCGCGGAGCCCGCGGCCGCAACAGCGGCGGGCAAAGGAGGCGGTCCCCTGCTTCCCCCAGGGCGCGAAGAACAAGGCGCAGTTGCGCTGTTTCAAATTGTGCGCAATGAGCCGCTGCCAATTTTCAAGTTGGAATTCTTCGAGAACTTCAGGGCGAACTGGAACGGCAATTATAAGCAGCACAACGCGGCCTTGAAGTGGTTCCGAGACGAGTACGAAGACCGAGAAAACCCTTTCGGCAGCCGCACGCCCGTCTTCGGAGGTACCGCAGTTGCGGAGGAAATTTCGAAGATCCTTAAGTACCGCGCAAAGGGGAAGGCGCAGGACAACAGGGATTGGGACTGGGACCACACTGTCAAAGTGCCGTGGTCTTGGCTGGAGATGGTCGCGCAGATGGATGGACCTACAATGCTGCGCGTCGTGTGCGGCCCTGACAATGACCGCAGTCGCGGGTTGGTCCGCTGCGAGTGCCGCCCGTGCCCTAGCAGTCTCGACAACATGAGGCACACGAAAGGGGTGGACAGAGGACAGGCGCAAAGAATCCCTCTGCCCCAGTGGGATTTCGTCCTCATCCGCGACGACGGCTCGGGCATTCGCGTCCACCCATCCTGGTCTAGCCCGAAGTTCAACACGTATGAGGTGGAGCCGCACTCGCATCCCGTGCGGGGCCCGAGGGCAGGTCTCGGCAAGAGCGATGGCCACGGAACGTTCACGTTCTGGAAGATGCTGCACGCCCATCCGAATCCTGGGCGGTTCGACGCGAGCAAGGGGGCGCAGCTGCAACCGCGGTGGTCCGCGCAGCCTTGACACCGCAGTTGCGGGATTGCGCAGCCATGGAACCGCAGTTGCGGGGACCGATCGCGTGACGCCGCGCTCGTTTGACTCACTATGCGCGCTTTCGGCCGCAGTTGCGGCGCTGCCTTCTAGCGACTTCATACAGCTTGGCCGCAGTTGCGGCGCTCCCACGACTGACCGCTGTAATTAGGTGCTTCGGGCGCGCATCACCTCCGTTGAAGCACTCGTGACGTTAATTAGCGCGGCCGCAGTTGCGGAGACAGGTACTTAAACAGATGGATCCGCAGTTGTTCGTCGTCCTCGTCGCCCCTTCCCCGTCGTCCTCGTCGCAGTCTCCTCCCTCCGCCTTTCCTCCTCGTCGCAGTTCCTTCCGTTGGCCGTAGCCCGCCTCCGTTGGCCGAGTCATTTCCCGTCGTCCTCGTCGCAGTCCCCCCCGAGGGCCGCAGTTGCGGACTTTGTTGATTCCTCCTCCTCCGTTTCTGCCCCGTCATCCTCGTCGCAGTCCCCTTGCTCCTTTCACCCTCGTCTGAGCTCTTCGCGCCATCCTCTTCCGTCGCGTCCTCTCCATCCTCCTCTTCGCCTTCCTCGTCCTCATCCCCGCCGTCTCCCTCGTTGCCCTTCCTCTCCCAAGCCGGCCGCAGTTCCCCCGTCGGACGGGGGCCGCGCGCGGCCACGCCATGGACCCAGGTCGCAAAGCCGAGGTCGACAAGCGGTTCGCCGAGCTGAAGCAGCAACTGCGGGAAAGGTTCGGCCTGCAAGGGGCTGCCGCGGATGCCGCAGTCGCGGAGCCGACGGAGGACCGCAGTTGCGGAAGCCCCGAGCGACCGCCGCGCGAGGCCTCCCCGCAGTCGTCTAGCTCCTCGCGGGAATATCGGCCGCCGCCGCCGATAAGCGCTGCGAGTGGGAGCTCTGCTGGTGGGAGGCGCGAAGAGGCGCAGTTGCGCAGGGCGCACTTGACCCCCAAGGCAAAATGGGGGCCTCGGGCGCAGACGCCGACGAAGCAGCAGGACCAACCAGCAGTGACGGGAGCCGCCACCGAGACCGCAGTTGCGGGGGTGGCCGGCGAGCCAGGTGCCGCGCGCGGCTCATCTGGGAGCAGCGCGCCCTCGGCCGTGCTGCTCGCAGCCGAGTCCAAACGAGGCGCCCAACCCGAAGACGAGGCCGCCTCCCAGGAGAAAGCCGCCGAGACAACCGCCTCGGCCGATTCGCGGCCGAGGAAAAGGCCGCCTCCCACGGAAGACTCGCCGCTGTCAGAACCGCAGTCGCGGGGTCGCGCGGGGCCTCCGTCGGAACCGCAGTTGCGGGAAGATGCGGGAGCACCGCGGAAGAAGCAGCGGACCAGGTCCCCTCCAGGGATAAACTACTTTGGGGAACGCCCCAAGTGGAACGAAGGATTCCTTCGTACAGCAGACGGCAATCGGGTTCCGTCCACCATCGCTTTGGTGTTCAACGTGGTGGTCATCACGAAGGTGGCAACAAAGGAAGATGTCTTCAGGTGCATCTTGCACCAAACTGCGGCGGTCGTCTTCGTCGTATGGGACCCCGAGCTGTTCCGCACGGGGAACGTCGAAGGCGCTTGCAGCTACGACGTTCGCGTTGGACTCAGGACTGCCGTCGACGACGCTGTCACTTTGAAAAACGCCTCCGTGGAGCCTTACTGGACGACGGTTGCCCTGTTCAGAGACACGGGCGTGGTGCTCGTGCGCCCGCACATCATCGCAGAGACCGCAGTTGCGGGTCATGTTGTTGGGGCCACCCACGCCGTCACGATCCTGAGCTTTCGCCTGAAGGGCTCCGAGATGAATCCTGCCGCGGTGATCCGTTTTGCCGTCGTGTCCAGACACGCAGTCACCGAACGTCTCCAACAGAAGATCACGCAAACAGAACAAACAGCGTGGCATCCAGCTTTCTTCAAGGACGCGGTTGCTTCCATCCATAAAAATGATGTGCGGTTCTTGTGCGGCCTGTTTGACATCCCGCCTGAGCAGCTCGCAGCATTTGGCCGCAGTTGCGGAGCCAGCTACACCT